AAAAAAAGGAGAATTTGGCTTGAGATATAAAATGTCTTCTTCTGAAGTCATTCACTTAATAAAACCAAGAATACAGGTTCAAAGAGTAATAAGAATCTTAGAGAGTTGCCCAAACCTATACAAGAATATTCTGAAAACCTCTTCTAATCTGGACCATTCTACAGAAAAAGACATAGTATCTGCTCTTTGCAGATAATATGTCACGGAAGCCAAAATTCACTTACCTAAATATTCTACCTAATTATGTCTCAAGCATCTATTAACAGCTTACTTATACAAAGTAGAATTCTACCCAGAAAGTACCGAGGTGCTCTTAAGTAATTTATACAGTGATTATGAATTTTCCTTAGTAAGCAAAGAGAAATCAAAGATTCAACCAAAGGGTCATCATCAAGAGAGCTTACTTAACTGCAATGTAGATGTCACCTCAGAGCGTTAACAACTCTCATTCTCTAGAAATTCTAACAAACGTGACCAGAATGTTCAAATATTTCCCTAGAAGATGTATACATCAAAGAAATTTACTGAGAAATTTACAATGAACTTCAATAGATAAAAGAAAATGACAGGTCTCTGTAAATCATAAATCTATATTCAACCTTAGCAAAAAACAGAAGACATGAAAGTGACTGAACAGTATAACCACTAACAAGTGGAAATCAGAAGACAAAGCAGTTTCTACCTACTACCTCTAGTCTCAGGACCAAGCAGGCAGATGTTCTAAGAACACTTTCTGAAGAAGGTTTTGCATAAAAGCTTTGAGGCTTTAAAAACTATGGACAAGTGAATTGAGGCCAGAAAAAAAAAAAAAAAAAAACAAGAAAGATTAATGGAACATATATTGGGACAGTAATTTTGGGATTTGAAATAAATCCCAAATTATCGTCCCTTGAACAGGGGATACACTAAGGAATGTATCAAGTAATTAAGTACATTGAGTAATGTAGGGGGCACGGGGGCTAAAAGAAACAATGTGGATAGGAGTCCAGGTGGCAGAATGATGGAAAGGAGAGTCTTAAAGATGCACTGGATGATCCTAAGTTTATCACAATTTATGATACTTTTGTGTTCCAGCTAAAAGTGACAAGATGAAAACAGAGGTAGAAAACGGCCTCGCAGCTCTGCATGGTGAGAAAGGGATGGAGAAGGGCATTACCAGACATGAGGTGGCGCCAGGGTAAACCACAGCAGACGCAACAGAATGGGCCAAGAAGCAGTGGATCAAGAGAAGTGGCGGTTACGGATGCACTGGACTTACGGCCAAAGAGAGAAAGAAGAATCGATAAAGAGGAGCCCAGAATGGCAGTAGAGATAGGAATAATGATGAAAGCAGGATTAGGCCCTTATTTGAAAAGTAAAGTGGAGATTTAAGGAGAAAGAAACTAGGGCTTTTTAAAAGACTTTAAGTTTCAGAAAGTTGAATAAGCTTTTTACTCAAGCCTTGAGTTTCTTCTCCCCTATGATTTCTCACAAACAGGAAAATAATAGTATAAAAGGCACACTAGATAGAAAAAAAAAAAACAACTCTACAAATTAGACCCCCACCTCAAAATATTTTATGAAATCATAAGATGAAATCTATGCTTCAAAATTAAGAATTCAAATTACATGAACTTTAAAGTTATTATCAGGCAATAAGTCACTTTATAAACAATCAAATCACTAAACAAATTAATTAATGGTAAACAAAAACATACCTTTAACGTTCCATCAGCTGAACAACTAGCCAAAAACTTGTCATCTGGCGAAAATCTGCAGTGAGTAACTGCATTTCTGTGGTCAAACAAGGTATTTCGACATGATTCTTGATTCAAGTCCCAGAGCTATTTGAGAAAGAATAAAAGATAATTTAAAAACTAGTACTGGGTCTCCCTGTTGGATCAAAGAGTGCTAAGCTATCACCAGCCACTGCAGCACAAGTTCAATCCCTGGCCAGCTAGACAGCTGACCCACATGGTGCAGCAGACCTCTCCTGTCTTGCCCACTGCTGCCCTCAGCAGTGTATTTCAGTAAATCTGCTAGTTCTGCTCCCCATTCGATCTCTCATGGATCATCTCACAACCCTCTCCCTCCCCCGTCCCCATCTCTGGCCTACACCCATCTTTAAAAAAAAAGATGTTCAACTAACAGTAACATAAGGTGTCAAACATGAGAGTGAACTTGAGATGAACAAGTAATGGGGTGGCCTTTAAACTGAATAAAGAAACTGTGACATTATATATTCAGTGGAATACTACTCAAATGCTAAAAAAAGTAAAGACAAAAATTAACGGATTTTGAGGTGATTATGCTAAGTCAAATAAGTCACAAAGTGAGAGACAATTACTGAATGGTTTCACTCATTTGTGGAATATCTTGTAAACAACCAAAAACCCAAACAAACTGCAGCAAAAATAATTCTTAAAACTCTGTAATGTGAAAAATATACTAAATACCAGAGGGAACAGAGCCAGGAGGGGAGGGAAGTAGACAGGATGCGGCTCCGGCGTCTGGTGGGGGCAAATAAACGTGCACGTGAGGAGGGTGTGACGCTGTTAACTTCAAAATTACACAGCTGTGCAAGTAACTGACAATACAATTTATTTGGGGAGGGGGAAGGAAATAGAAATGTTCTTACACTATAAAATGCTAAAAAGAACCATCAATGATTAGTCATAAATAGTACAAAAGTATTACTTTTTGAGAGGGTGGGTTTATTTAATAGGCTAAACTTTTTCTGAGTAAAAGTGAACTGTAATTGTGAGATAATTTTACATTTCTATATTACCCTGTTATTTTGATATTTTTATCCAATTATGCTTTACAGGGCCCTACAGACTTAAGATACAGTCCTGAAGAGTATCAGGGTGAGGGAAGTAGGAGAGGGAACAAGAGATAGAGTAGAAATATAGGCCCATAATATGCCCATCTACCTACTGGGGTTTCTCTCATGCACTGAGTTTCTACGTAAGTTTTTGTTTGGAGGGGAAAAAAAGATGTAAAGGGAGATGATGTAGTTTTAAAAACTGTATCTATTTTCTAAAATTGTTTTTAAATAAGTTATTTAAATAGTCTATAACATTTTCCACACTGAAGTATTTTAGACACCTTTCCCAAAAATACACTGTCCCATTACAAAGATGAAGTGACATTATGAGCAGAAATAAAACCAAAACAGAATCCAAAAGGAGTTTGTCGATCTTTCTGTTTCCCAGAAAAGTTCAAGTAGCTATCTTCAGTATGCGACTTAAGGGGTGGGGGGGGGGGGGGGAACACTTTTTACAATTTCTAATTATAAAACATCAAACATATCTGGAATAGCTGTTTTTGGCTTTAGTTTTTTTTTTCATTTTTTTCTTACTGGCATCTTTTTTTCCTTCCTCCTGATAACAGAACCTCTTTTATATCAAGCCCTATTTATAATTCAACTATAATTTACTTCATCTTATTTGTCTCATTTCTACATGATTAAATTTGTGACCTCTGGTGACCTAAAGGTTCCAATCTACTGGTCACTAGCTATTTATCAATGAACATGAACCCAAAGCAGAAAAATTAGTTTTCGCTAACATTAAATCTACATACACTGAGAAAAAATAAGTTTCTCTTTCTCTGTGATTAACAGCTACAAAGAACCATGTAAGCCTGGAGATGAGGGTGGATTTCCTGCCCCACCAAGAGAGCACCTGAAGCAACAAAAAGGGAAATGGAGTCTAGAAACGAAGAGTTAGAGCCTGAGAATGCGAGTATCTGGCGTTAGCTCTCCTGAAGTCATACTCCCTTTAGACTCTCAGCTACAGGAGCCAACGTCTCTTTGTTCCTTATGCCAGTATGAAAGTTTCTATCACTGCAATCAAAGGAGACCTGATTAATACCATGAATGGGAAAAATCAAAGGGGCGTTCCTAATTCTCACTGTCCATACTTACTTTGAGGCAGGAGTCACTTGACCCCGTGGCTAAGAGAATGTGATGACTGCTGTTGGTGAAGTGGCAGCAGTTGACCTGTTCCGAGTGCTCCTCATATGTGTGGACTAGCTCCCCAGTCAGGGAATTCCAGATCTAAAGAGAACAGAGGCTACATTCGCAATCACTCCTATTTTCAATGCCAGTGTGAAGCCTCGGTAGGGATGCTGTCCAGTCGGTCTGACAGATGTTCCCAGTCAGGTAAGATGCTAATGAAACCTCTCCTTTCCCTAAAATATTTCAGGATTTTCATAGGATATTCTTTTTAACTACTTGCAAGTCTATACAGGTATCTTTCTACAGTTTGTCTGGAATCTCATGAAAACATTACTCCCTCAAGGGCAAGTTTCCACATATTCACATGAATGACAGCAGGCAGAGAAGTACTATGAACAGGATGGAATAATGGACTTCACATTAGAAGGATTAAATCTAAAAATTGGCTCTATCACTTATAATTAGTGTGTCCCTGGTCAATTCCCTAACTTCCTGTATCTCATTTCCTTCTCTAAAAATATGGACACTTACACCTTATCTTCCACGATCCAAGGCATTAAAAGAGATAAATGACATTATGTGTTCTGCTGACTTTAAGATACCAATGAATATGTAAACACTCAGCTCAGGTTTCTAAAGAAAACCTGGCTTTCAATCTCATGAGCTTGGGCAAATGACTTTCTCTGTGAACTTGTTTTTACACCTGTAAATAGGATTAATAATTACATTTCCAAACTGTAGTAAGAAACTAATACAAGAAAGTGAAAAGTACAAAACATCACAGAGCGTCTTAGTTCTCACTAAAATGTAGTCATCACTAAGGAGTCTGTCCCATAGAACAATAAGCCAAAGAAGTAAATTGCCTTTACAGAGGTACTAATGTCCCTGCCAGTGGTCTTTTATCTTACCAAAGCACTACTCAAATGTCCGAAGAGTTTGTCTTATTTTGAAGTGCTTTAATAGCATTTCTGTGCCCTCCCTGGTGGCGCTACAGTTACAACACAGCACTATGACGCTATCACAGCCAGGGAGGCGACCCACATGGTGCAGACCTCTCCTGACCTGCCTCCGCAGTGTACTTCGTTATCTGCCTGTTCTGCTCCCCACTCGTGAATCCTATGGTGTCTCTGGTGAATCCTCTCATCCCTGCACCTCTGGCCTGTGCCCCAGTTCTGTATGTATAAATACATTTTTTAAAAAAAAATAGGTATTTCTGTCTCTTGCTTTGTTATAAGTTCTTAGAAAACTAAAGCTCACTATTATTTCTTTTATTCCTTTGGAACTGCAGAGTAGCCAGCCTCAAGTGTGACTCAGAAAGCAGAGTGAATGAACTGACTAGCTGTGAAACTATTTACAATGTCCAGTCTATCGAATAGCTTTTTCCAAGGTCTCAATTTGTTAGACATTCCACAGTGCTCTTAAAGCAGATGAAAGTCAGCAAACCACTTTGCTGCCAGGTTCACTGAGAGCCACCACACCTAGCCAGATTCAATACTTCACAGACTCTGAAAAAAGTCTCAAGTGAGGTTCTTTCTCCATTTATCAGGTAAACCTTCTCCTAGACCTCACTCAGTTTCTCTCAAATTCTGTACTGACATAAATGCTCTGGCTAAAAGCCAAGTTTGGGGACAGGACACAGGAAAGAATAATTCACAGAGATACTACTTTTTTCCTCTAGTTACCTATTAGTTTTTCAATCTAAACTATAAATTACATATTTTACAATAGGAATCTGATCTTAGTAATTTTGTGTAGCAACATTTCTAAACACAATGCACTCAAAAACTTCCACTGATACCTATAAATCTGTCAATATATGGCAGGAAAATTCATTAATTTCTAACAGTTTTTCTAGTCTAAATATTACCAGTTGCCTGGTAAATATTGCAGGCTCATCAACCTAGGCATTTTTTGCTGTTTCTTAAAGAATTTTCAGGCAGTGTTAAGTTGCAGTAGATTAAAACTGTTTTACCTGAAGTCAGTAGATCAACCAGCAAGAGTCCTCACATCGCGCTACCGAAGCTGGAGGGAGCGACGCCCACACAGAGTTTGGCCTGAACTTTGCCCAGGAACCCCTGAACAGGGGCTGCTGGGAGAGGAAGAGCAGAGCAGCTATTCTGAGCCCTTAAAAGGGAGCAAGGCACATGGGCGCTCTCTCTTCAGTGGGAACTGCTGTGGAAGGCACTGCCTCACTAGGCAGCACAGCTCCGCCTCCCCAGCCGCAGCAGGCTGCTACTCAGCTGCGGACAATGGCTCAGTAATTGGGCCTTCTCCCTGCCCCTCTAGCCTGTGGTTAGCATAAACTGTTTTTTCTGTTTGCTGCCCTTATATTTATTTGCATTTGAGGTGGCAGGTTGCTGGATCCAGAACAGGTGAGAGAGGTTCTAATCTGGTGAGGTTTTTGACCCTTTGCCCAAGGACACTGGGGAAAATGAAAATGATTTCTGCAGTGACTGCAACTCAAGAGAAAAATATTTTCTTACCTTCACTTTTCTATCCACTGAGCAAGTTGCTATAAATCTGTTATCTGCAGAGAATGCACAGCAAAGCACTTCATCTTCATGAGCCTTGATTTCTAGAAGTTTTTCTCCTGTTTCAGCTTTGAATACCTGCACAAGCAGCAATAAAATGTTTGTATTATAACCCACTTAACCACAGGCCACCAATAAAAACCTTTATTTCTAAGACCTTAACTAGTGTTATTCTGCAAAACAAGTGGATCTTGGTAAAATCATTCTAAAAATGATAATTTTTGCCAGAACTTGCCTGATCATAAAGAACTTAACTGGCCCTCCCAGGTGGTGCAACAGGTGAAAGCACTGCACTATGAAGCTAGGTGCAGCCACTTCAACACGAATTCGATCTCCGGCCAGGGAGGTGGCCACATGGCCCAGCAGACCTCTCCTATTTTGCCCACTGCTCCCCTCAGGAGTGTGTTTCAGTTGATCTGCCTGTTCTGCTCCCCACTCTGTCTCTGGTGACTCCTCTCATCACCCCTGCACCTCTAGCCTGTACCCCAGTTCTGTATGCATAAATGAATAAATCTCAAAAAAAAAAAAAATCTTATCTATCATTAAATGCCTGTAATTGTCAATTTTAAAAATTGAGTTTTTATCTTCAGTTCTTCAAACTACATTGGCAATTTCCTAGCAATCATAAAAAACATTTTATTTGAATTTTTATTTGAATAGAAATTTGTTTCTTTCTGGGGCTTAAAAACTAAAATTAGGCCCTCCCTTGTGGCGCAGTGGGTTAAAGCACAGCACTGAGAATCTGAAGCTGCTTCCAAATGAGTTCGATCCCCGCCTGCCCCGGAGGTGACCACATGGCGGCAGGCCTCTCCTGGCCCACCCACTGCTCCCCTCGGCAGTGTACTTCCTCGATCTGATCTGCCTGTTCTGCTCCCCACTCTGTCTCTGGTGAAGCCTCTCACTGCCCCTGAGCCTCTGGCCTGTACCTCACTCAGTTCTGTATGCACAAATAAATAAATCTTAAAAAAAAAAAAAAAAACTAAAATTAATAAAATCAGTAACAAAGTACACATAGAGAAATAAGGTTTACACATCTTATAAAGATTAAAGCTATCCTAAATATAAAAGTTGAACTAATTTAATCCTGTTCCTTTCAAAATCAAAAGTTGAATGCAAATGTAAGGAAAGCACTCTTCTCGTGTCTTGTGTAAATACATGAACACATGAAGGGGATTCCTCAAGCACCTAAGGAAATAATCTAGTACAGTCACTCCTGCAGTCAGAAATGTATGCCTGTGCCTTGACAGCCCTATTATCAGAACCAGCTCACTGGCTTATGATGTTTTTGACAAGTGCCATTTCTTCTCCAGCTCATCTCTAGTAGGTACATGGATGAAGCAACTGACTCTCAGGGAAGGATACTTCCGTGTTACTAGGCAAGTTTAGAATGAAAACTAAAACTGTATGCTTTAAATTTCTAGGCAAAACATTCATAAAATGTTCAACAGATTTGAATTTCTGTATTTCTAGTGTGCAATTTTCTTAAATTTTAGGATTTAAATATATTCTGATATGTGCATAGTACATGACTCTTAATTTTTCACAAGATAGATGTTTTACCTGTAAGGTTTTATCAGCTCCACAAGAAGCTATTCTTTGACCATCCTCAGAAAAGCAAGCATGGTAAACAGCATCTGTATGGGGGCGGACAACTAAGCGGGACAGATTCTTGATGTTTTTTTTGTTTCTAAACAAAAAGAAAAAAATTAACAGTAACCCAATAAATAAGAGCAAAACTAATTATTTTCTTTCAGTAATGAAGCATATTGTCTTCTAACAGGTTATGTTCCAAAAATATATTTTCAAATTACCAACAATGACAGGGTAGATCACCTTAAGAAAAAAGTATAAGGAAACGGCCATTTTTAAGAGAAACCCTACCCTATTATCAAGCAACTTGTAAAGCATCACAAATGTCACTGAATTGGAAGAACTCATTAATCAAATACATGTCTCTATTTTCTTTTGCTACCTTAATAATGACAATGTGCAGAAAAAACATAATGGAATTAAGTAAACACTCAAAAATCTCTCAAACCTTTTGAAAAACCAGTGCTACTGCACAGGAGCATTCACTCAGGTTCCTGGCCCTCTCGCTCCAGACTCCCTAAGCTGCCAACTCTAGCCCATGCCTGGGCCTGCCTCCTACAGGGAGGGGGAGAGGCCTCCTCCCCCACCAGCTGATGTCCTGCTCTGGCTGTGCTGCTTCCCACCAGGCGGGGGGGCGGGGGGGCAGCACCTGGACTGGCAAGCCTGCCAGGCACAGGTACAGGCCTTCAAGGACTGCATGAGTGAAGCAAGGCGGCGGGAGAGTTACCAAGCAGGAAGTGTAAACCAGTGCCTGCCTACCACCGAGACCCCAAGCCAGCTGTCCCCCGAAAACGACCCTACAGAAACCAGCATGCTGAGACATCACAGGAGGAACAAGTCCTTAGCAGTGAAACTAAGCAGGGGCAAAATGTCAAACTGAGAGCCGGGGGGGGGGGGGGGCGGTCATGGGTGTGGACGCAACTACCATAAAGAGCCATCGCCTTCCCCTGTGAGCGCCCACGTGCCCATCCTTGCTCTACCGACATTAAATACTGAACTAACACTGCGACTTACTCAACTATGGTACAGGATAGAAAAGTGTTAAATTTGGGATATAAAACAAAATCACTGGTGATAGGGACCTTGAGTTGACAGGGACCCTGAGGCTGCAGAACCACTAATGGAATAGAACTGAGAGGAGCCGCGCGATTACTCTGGTGGGCATAACGACACGTATGTTCAGTGACAACTATTCTTATCACAAAGTGCACAGTGCCCGAACAACTATGCAAGTTTACCTTCTTTAGCTGACATAATAGGTTCAAGAGAAGGTCCCTCTTCAAATGTTCTAAGAACTGGTTCAAGTTCTATCAAAGAGTTTTCAAAAAATGGCCTTTTCATCTGGATTTTGGACCTATCACACAGTCCTTGAAAGAGATTACAAGCTCTCAATGGCAAACATTCTTCATTAGTGCCACGTCCATGACCTTGTGATGACTACCCTCCCCGTACTCTGCAGAGGATTGACTTCTTCAAAAGCTGTTTTCTGGATAAGACTTCCTATGGGTTGATTTGGTGATGGGAAACCAAGAGGATTGCAACTGAGATGGAAAAATGCACAAAAATATGTAAAAATATACTAAAAAAAAAACTTCCCATGTGATAGTTGTACAGCCATGGATATCATCCTTGACAATGGTCAATCAGGGTATTTTTTTGGCCAAATTCATAGTTTTCAGGAAGCAAATAGATAACTGTCCCTCCTTCTGGTGCAGATTTACTCCTTTGTGATTGTGGAGACCATCATATGTCATTCTGACAAACCAAAATCTATGATTTTAATATGAAATTTATTACCCAAAGATAGCATCTTCAGGTCATGATGAAATAGAAGTTTCCTACTGCATAGGTAATTTATTCAAATTGCCTGCAATCTCTTGCAAAATATGAAATCTCTGTGGTCAAGAAAATTTGGGGCTCAGTTTTCCCATGTATGAGTTCATCCACTTGGCATGTATTCAGTAAGTATTCCCCAAAACAAAGGCTCACCACAAATTCTCAAAACTGGATGAGTATCTTAAATCTAGCTTTCAGGAAAATTTCAGCTTCTCCTAAGATATCATTTGTTTTACCCAAATGAGTGGATGTTCAGCAGGAAGGGAAAAAAATGTCACCAGCAAAAGCCTGATGAGCAAATGGTGATTGTTAAGTGCCCAAACTCTGGATGAATGAAAACCTAGTGGCAGTGTGTTGATGTGCACGTGCCTCACAACCACCTGAACGCAGCTGTCAGGGGGTTTCACACCACATCCACTGCAGCTCAGGTCAGAGGCGGGGGATGAAGGTCAAAGCACTGGCTCACGCCAGTGGCCAGACCCGGCGTGCCTGCCAATCCCTCCGCTCCCTCCCTTTCTATGGCTCCTTGGCCTCCCAGATGCCCTGTTTATTCCTCTAAAACTTTTCAGTAAGTAAAACGCTTATTAAAAGTTGAATTCCTTTCCAAAGTAGTTAGATCTTCCTGCAGTGAACTTATTCACTATTTGAAAAATAATGACATTGTTAGCGCTCCACTCCCTTCAGCTTCTCTTCTAACCTACTTACATCCATTCCAGGTAAAGCATTCCATTATCGACCTCCTGCTTGGCCTGCAGCTTAGCTTGCCGATAAACTTCTGAGGTTTCCGGTTCACAGAGACCCAATTGTACAATATTAGGAAATGGCTGTCGTCCAAGGAGGTGTCCATTCAAAGACAAAAACTCCTGGAAATTCTCACACACTGCACTGCACTGTGAACAAATTGAAATCTATTAGAAATACAACCACAGCTGAGATCTGACATTTTTATTTCTGTGATCTTTTCACTCTAAATGCCTAATGCAATAGACTCTCTATGAGCTAAAACTAAATACTAATCGTTAGGAAATAAACTCAAATTTTTAAACATCAGGTATATATCTAATCATTAAAACTAACACCTTACTTCCCCAACTTTAAAACAATCCTAGCAGTAGAGTAGGAAGCAAAATAATTGAGTATACTTAAAGATCAAAGTAAGGTTATTATCTCTCTTCACCCCTTAAACTCATCCCCCTTGTAAAACCTAGAATCAAGTGTGTCAAAATAAGATAATCCTTTATGCACTTATTTTTATATTAGTATGTACCTTTTCATCTAATATATGACTATATTCCACAAATTCATGAATCAGATGAGCAGGGCCTACAAGTTCTGTTTTCGCTTTAATCCAATCCAGGGAAAACATTAAAGCACAAAGTTCCTTTAAGAAAAAAAAAATCACAAACACTGTTAAAGACAGCAAAGAATGTTCAGTCTCCAATTATTATCCTAACACTAAAAGAAACTTAGTAAATATCTTAGAATTCAAGAATGCAGAGGAAGCTGCCAAAAAGGACATTTTCAATAGTTTCAAGAACATAAAATATGTAAGCCTTAAATTAAAATAAGTTTCAGATGCATTAAAAACAAATATAGGGCCCTCCTTGGTAGC